GCTGGTTAGAAATAATACAATAGCAAATATCTTATGAGGGATATGGCATGCAAGTTTATTTTTTTGCTTATATTTCCTTAAAGTAATTAATGTAGAGGTTATAGATTTATATTTTAGCTTGGGTATATCTAATTTATAAGTGTGTAATCCCTCAGAAGCTTAGAAAATAAAATAGGAGTGGAATGTAAATCTAAAATGTTAGAGAAGTGAAGATTGAGAATTTTAAATATTTCATTTTGAAATTAAGAAAGTAAAACTTTATTTAGTATTATATATAATATTAAATTCATATTTATTTAATATGAATTTTAAACTATGTCTTAATGCCAAATTTATGATAAATTAATTAAATTTTGAATGTAACTGTAGAAAGGTTCAGTCCAGATACTTTGGCCCGTCTGTGCTTAGAGAGTTAATTGATAAAAAAAAAAGCCATTCATTTTGTCACAACTGCTCTTTTTTCTTTAATAACCTTACTAGGTAAATATCCCATTCATACTGTCACAATTCTTTTTTTTTTTTTTTAAATATGCATCATATGAACCAAGGGGGAGGATCTTTGTTGTTTATCAAGAAATGCCAACCCGTTGAGGCAATTTCTGTTTTTATTGTAACTTTCTGATAATTTTCATTGGCTGAAATGCAGTTGTTTGGCATTATCTTTACTGAATCGACGATTCTGTTGAAGGCCAGGTCAAGAAAAGGATGGTAGGGAACAGTAGGGGAACCTTCATGTATTGTTTAACATACAAATGCAAGCATCAGAATTGTGGAATATGTTTAAAATGTGATGGAACAACCATACAGTAAAAATATCTTGAAAGCGTGGTGGGAAGCAGCTAATGAATCCTCTGGTAATTCAGAAATGGACAGAAGTAAATCGAATTCCAGCTACTTTGTAAAGGAATTTACTCTTGGTTAGGAATTCTGTCCACCACATGATAAAATTTATGGCCAGAAGTGTATAGATCGATTCAAGGATGATGATGTGGAAATGTTCAAGAATGGTCTTGAGGATAAGTGGAATAAAATAGGCCCCAGAAGGATGCTTGAAGAACTGCAATCTACATATCAAGATCAATTCAATATACCATCCAATTACTTCTTCCAGGGGAATACAGCAACCTTACAGACATATTGATGTCCATTGTGTCTGAATTGTACACCGTCACACCTAAAACATTGACTGACCACATGACCACTTTTTACTCCTTAAAGTCATTATAGTTTTGATACTACTAACTTTTAATATAGTATGTTGGTAGATTTTCAGTGAACATTACTAGTTTTTTTACCTACAAAAATTAGATTTTTTAGTGAAGTATTTTTTAATAAACTAAAAAGGGATTTTTCAATGAATATATTCTTTTTTTTTACTAGTCAGAGTGCAAATGATGTTAATGTTAAGATTAAAAATAGTTTTCTTCATCTCAGAAATCTCAAATTTCATTTGCATAATCTCTAAAACCTCCTAAATACATTTCAAACTTCTTTTTCAGTACAACTTTATATTTTATCTGTTATTTTCTATGCCCTAACTCTATACTAGGTTGGTCAATTTGACCAATCTCATAACCACCAAAAATAATCAGTATAAACCTAAATCTCTTTTCTTTCTAGAATGGCTTCAGATTGTACCATGAAATTACATTTGTAATGGTATACATCTATTTATACTTAAATTTTATTGTTTTATTGCCATTTGAACTGTGTCTAACTATTATTCATGCCATTATAAGTTGTAAATCACTTAGGGAATGTGCAGCTCACACTACTCTATCAAATTACATTACCCACAAACTACTCTGAGCTGCTCGCGTGTGTACCTTATGAAAAGATTTTATTATAATGTTATTTATTTTACCTAATCTAACCTTAACTAACCTAAAAAGTTTCCTATTTTTACATTTTGTTTACTATTATAATAATAAATAAATAAAGGATACACATGAAAAACAAAAAATATAATGCTTACCTGGGTCTTTTTTGCCATCGACTGTCGATGACACTTAACCATACTTTTTTATATTAATGGTAGTAGTGCATTAAATAATGCACCAAAGAACATAGAATAACATGCAAAAAGCAGACAACGAACCATGACTATCACAATTTTTCTGGCTTTGTAACTATACAACAAGATCTGTTACTAATTCATCCAAACTTGTTAATATGTTTCTCACAGAAACAAAACTTGTACTGAAAGAGAAAGTGATGATTCTCTGTACAGAAACCAATGTAATATAATATGTCATTTGATAGATGAAAACCTTTGCTTTCTATTAGTTATTAATAATATAATATTAAACATAAGAGAGAACTAGTAACAAATCCTGAAAGAGAGGGTGTGGCAGGAGAAGTCTAATTTTCTATTTGATAGCTCTGTTAACCAAACAAAATGGAAAGCTAAGAAAGTTATGCTTTGTCTGAGTTGTGACAATATTATATTGAGTAATTTACATTAAATATCGTACTTATTAGAGGGGTGGTGAATAAATTAGAGAAGAGGGTTACCAAGAGAAAAAGTAACATTTCTCACACTAGGGGAAATTCAGGATTTTTAAAAATATTGCCTTATAAGAATTTAAAACTTAAATTAAAATATGGATTATTAGCTATGATTTTATGCTATACTGATTGGTATAGCATAAACAAAATGTTGTTTAATTAAATTTTGAATGTAAGTCATCAAAAACCTTGTGATGTGCACAATAAAGGATGCCCATGCAGAGAGATATAATGAAGATTAAAACTTGATGGGCTGTTAGAATGCTCTTATTCTTCATTTTCTAGGGCCACAGCCATAGGTAACCAGTACAAATAATGACCCTTAACTTCCAAATGCAAGGCTAACTGTTGCACCAATTGAAAAATTTAAATAGTTAATTTAGATAACTACAAAACTTTTACAAAAGACTAGCCTTGCTAGCATTTTGAAATGCAAATAGTACCAATCTATTTTTTATTCATTAAGATAACATTGTATTTCTCTGAAATGTATTCCCATACCAGTTTATCTCCCTATCATTACCCTTGCATCAACTGTAACCATTAGCTCTATAAAAGGCAGTCCCATTTCTGAGAAGTTCATTGTCTAGTTATTTTACTCTGCAATACAGTTAGTTGTGTTTAGGATTTTAAAAAAAAGTTGGTTGTGCTTCCAAATCAAGTATGTATTAAACATAAATTATTAATTTAAACAAAGAACTAGGAATAACCTGGACTTTTTAAATCATTTTCAACAATGTAATGTTTCAATACTTGTACTGTTGCACAATTCATGGTTTATTGATAGTTGTATTATAAAAATATTTGTCTTCACAATCAGATCAAACTAGGGCCATTGTATATCTGTTTTTAGCCAAAAACAGGCTGTCCTCCTGTCATATAATTTGATGCTTTTTGAATGAATAAAAGAAACATTTTCCTCCTACTAACTTGGTGAAATTCAAGAATGAAGTAAAGTGGATTTTTTTTAACTCTGATCAATGGACATGTAAAGGAAATCTTTGAAAACTATGAAATTTTATATAACTTTTTGAGATCTGGGAAGGTGTGGGTTTGGTCCAAGTTTGCTAGTTAGCATGGAGCCTATTGCATGTTTTTTTCTCACTTAATTTGTTAAGTGTTATTACATGTTTCAGGTAATTCTACCATATGTATATTGTAAATAAACAACATCCTAATGAAATTCAATTATTTACATAAGTATACATGCTCATTACATAATAATATAGTATAGTTGTTCATATAAATTTCCTTTAAATATTGTGGATACAACATATATACAGTATTCAAATTTATATAGTTCAGTCTATGTATGGAAGAATTTATTGTTCGCTAGTCTAGGTATTAAAGTATATATGTTTCAGTAGTCTGTATGCCAATATGTATATGCTTCAGTAGTCTGTATGCCAGTATATATATGCTTCAGTAGTCTGTATGCCAGTATATATATGCTTCAGTAGTCTGTATGCCAGTATATATATGCTTCAGTAGTCTGTATGCCAGTATATATATATGCTTCAGTAGTCTGTATGCCAGTATATATATGCTTCAGTAGTCTGTATGCCAGTATATATATATGCTTCAGTAGTCTGTATGCCAGTATATATATGCTTCAGTAGTCTGTATGCCAGTATATATATGCTTCAGTAGTCTGTATGCCAGTATATATATGCTTCAGTAGTCTGTATGCCAGTATATATATGCTTCAGTAGTCTGTATGCCAGTATATATATGCTTCAGTAGTCTGTATGCCAGTATATATATATGCTTCAGTAGTCTGTATGCCAGTATATATATATGCTTCAGTAGTCTGTATGCCAGTATATATATGCTTCAGTAGTCTGTATGCCAGTATATATATGCTTCAGTAGTCTGTATGCCAGTATATATATGCTTCAGTAGTCTGTATGCCAGTATACATGCTCTTTATTAGTCTATGTTTTTACGGTATATTGTCTGTTTCTCATGGTAGTAAAAACCATGCTCTGTTTTATGTCTCATGTATGAGAACTTGTTATATTTATACATTATATTTTGGGTTTTCTTTTAGGTGCCAAGAAAGCTTCACCTAAATTAGCCAAGTCACGTAAAACTACGCTATTTGGTAAACAACAGAAGTCTTTTTCTTACAATGATTTGAATGAAGATGTAACAAGTAAATACAGTTTTTCAACTTTATCGTCATCTGCATCTTTAGCTACAGAACTGTCGAGCTTACCAATGGTAAGGAAAAACATACTCTGTTTGATTTTAATTTGCTGGAGATAAGTTATGTCATAAAACTGCTAAAATGAGATTTGTTTTAATTTCTTTAGATGTGAATATAAAAGTTATGATTAAATTTGTAGTGTTTTATTTTATATATATGAAAAATATTTTTTTAGCATATTTATGAAAGGAAGGCCCTACCTTCGAAGAGGTGGTTGAACAAGTCTACAAAAAAAGACAGCTATTTTGTTTTTCATTGTCACTTGTTTTTAATACCTGATGTTAAATAACCATATTACTTGGAAAAGTTAGTAGTTACCAAATTTAAATGTATGTTCAAGATAAATTTGAAAGTTTGAGTTAAATTCATTGAATTTCTCATTAGCTAAACTTGAGAGTGTTTTAATGCTTGTAGTTATTCAAATTTTGGGATGAAACAGAATGATGTCCATTCTGAGGAAAATACTGTACTCACACAATAATTTTTAAGATTAGAAATAAATAAAAACCCTATAACCCGAGCACTTTTGAAAGGTGGACCTTTCAAAAGCTCTCTGTTTATTGGGTTTTTATTTATTTCTATCCAGACTTCTTGAACCTACATGTTTTTCTAACATCATGAATTTTTAAGATTAGATAGTGTATAGTGTAACAGTGGCTGAAGAATATTATTAAACCTACAAAGTAGGTTCTGTATCAGAATAGTAGGCAGGCACAACATGTGGCATGTTCTCTTTATGATCTTCAAAAAGCCTGTAGAATGCTGTTAATGAAGTCTTTGCTGGTTTTAACTTATGTCTAATTAGGAATATTACTTTCTCCAAGCCACCTAAAACCTTTGCTTTGATCTTGATTTCATGCCTTGAGTGTTTGTATACTTATTGATGCTTTTTTTTGTTGAACGTGAGTTTCAGTCTCCATGAGAATAAATCATTTGCTCATTTTATAGCAGGTTTGATTAGAAAATCATTAATTATTTTCAGTGGATTCAGCACAGTTGGTTCATTTTGTGAGAATATGTTTCTTTATAATTTTTATTGCATAAGAAAATTAAAAAATGAAAATCTCAATTACTCAAATGGCTTTCACAGAACAACAAATTTTGTAAGTTAGTGTAAAAACTTAGTTGAATACTTTATAAACTTTTTATGATTAATATTGTTTTTCATATGTATTTGCTAACTTGCAGTATTAGATGGATTTATTTAATATAAAATTGTTAATTCAGAAAGCCTCGTGTAACTCCACTCTTACTAGCATTGTAACAAAAATTTATTAAAAATCTGTGTTATGTAGAATGAAAATAAATAAATGCCATGTGGAAAACGTTACTTTGTGTAATGAATCTTTGATTGTACTATAAAAATTTGTTTGTCCTATCTTTTGTAGAGTCCCTTAGGTGATGCATTAGACAGAAAGCTTGAGTCTTTGTTGTGTGAATGGCATAAAGGATCTGACTTACTTTTTAGCATCCACCCTGTAGATGGGAGTTTTTTAGTCTGGTAAGAAGCCTTGTAGTTGGTTTAATCACTCGAAATTTACTAGTAGGAAGAACCATTGTAAATCATATAGTATGACAATGGTACATTACAAAAGCTATTCAGAAAGATAGCAGTTTAATAGTCTTGTTAGTAAACTGATTACTAGCTGGAACATAGCTATAGTCTGATTTATCTAGTTCTTTCAATATGGTATTATTATTAACTGACAATATTAAATAAATTAACAGTTTTAACTTTATAAGAGCATAAACCTTCTATTTACAGATTGGAGGTTATTAATTTAGATATTTATTATTTTTGATATTTTTACTTGTTAATTTAGTTTAGTACAAAATGTTGTTATTTTTTTAAACTATATATATAACATATTTTATTTATGCTGCCTTTATAACATTTTGTCATAAACTCTCAATGGCAATCTAAATAAAAATAGGGTATTACTCTAAGTGGTTAAATGTTTCTGATTAAGTTTGTGGTAAGGATTAATTGTATTTGTTGGAAATACAGAAAACACAGTTCCTTAGCTTAAACTGATTCCTCTCCCTCTCTCTTTATTCATGTTAACTTACTCACATCACTACATGAACTAGAAACATTGGAAGTATCTGAATTTTTACTTAATGTCTTCATTTACTTTTTCCACCTTACGAGGGTAAAATGACTGTACTTTGTTCTTACAGGTTAGTTGATTGGCTTGATGAATATAGTCCTGGATCATTTCGCCAGGCTCAGGTTAGTTTTTCTTCTCGTATTCCTAATGCAATATCCTTAGGTGATGCAGCTACCATGTCTCACCACCTTACCCTTTACTCTCCACGTGCTGGGTTGGACTTGCGTGTAACTATGCAGAGTTTTTATGGTAGAGGAACCAAAGATAATACTAGTCAAGAACCTACTTCCAAAATCAATGAAAACAAAACAGCAAAATCTTCCAAGATTCATGTGGACAATGAGCAGAAAGGTGGCATAGGTCAACCAGACTCCATTTTTCACTCTCCTACACCTACATTATGTATGTTGTCCAAACACAACAATGGCAGCCTTAACCTGTGGTATCTTGTTTTTGAAGAAAAGACTGCATTTGCTCAGGTAGGTTTGGTTTCTATTAATTCCCTCTTCAAAACAAACACTAATCAATCACCATCAGAATTTCTTCTTCTTTTCTGTATAATGTATTCCACTACACTATAAGTTTGATCCTATTTGGCAGATACTTTTCAATTTCAAATAATTATAGTACATTTCATTAAATATAGCTTAAAGAGGTAAAATTACAAACGTTTGGAAAACTATATATATGTGTAACTGTATATTTAAACAAGCTACAAAATCTTCATAATAGAATACATCAAAAGGAAGGATAGCATGATTTTTACACATGTCCAAACCTTAGATGATATATAGTTAATTAAGTTTTGTGGAGAAGAAAAAATAAATAAATGCTGCTACAAAACAAACATCCAAAACTGGGGCACAAACCATAAGGTTGGTCATTATGTAATGGACCCTGTTTTTTTTTAGGTACTAGTAGAAGTAAGACCCAAATTTTGTTGAGGGTACCCCATCCATCTAGTATAACCTCAATTTTCTGGTCCTGCATGTTTTAAAAAAAGAGCAGAAGTGGGTGCTAAAGCCCATTATGGTACTACTATACTAAACTCAGTCTTTTGCTTTTGGTATAGCTTCCATCCTCTGCCCTTCCATGCTACTATCTAGATCTCTCCAGTAATACCAATTCAAAAGTTAATAAAAACACAGTAGAAAGGTCTTATATAGGGAATGTGATACATCTACATTAGTACACTTGTATAAGAAATTGTAATGTCCAAATAAGCAATTCCAATTATTTTTCTTCCTACCAATAAATTTTAGAAATTATATTTAACTGTACATAAATATCATTTCATTGATGTCATTATTTTGAAATTTGTGTAAATACTTTTTATATTTATTATAAAATAATTTTAAATGTTTTATTAAGGTTTTATCATCAAAACCATTGAAAATCAATTTATGTACTACTATATTTATATTAGATATTAAAAATTGTTTATTATTACAAACTTTACAATATCTAAAAAGCTATAAACGTATAATATTCTGTATAGCATGTGTTGGAACATTACTATTTGTTGAGGGAAGTCCATATATTTATTTTATCATAAATATTAATATTACTCTATTTTTTGTTTTAATATCTAAATCTAAATAATGTTATTCACTGTCTGATATGGAGGTATTTTCAATTTTTAGAACTGCAGGGTAAATGCTACCACAATGATTAATTACTGGATTATTAATACTGATTAAATCATCAGTATATCTGTGTCAAGGAAAATAAATACTGATTTGTAAAAGTACTTATGAATTTATTTTCATAATAATAAAATCATAAGTTAGCAACATAACTTGGATAATTTGCTTAGTGGTATACACACTATTTGTTTAAAAATGTGTTTGTCAAATAAATATAATTATTAAATAAGCAAAAGCTAAATTTGTTTTTGACATTATTAGTGTTAAAAGTTTGATTTCCTACTTTTATAATTATATCAGTAAATTGATTTTTTAACAGATTTATCATATTGCCAATACCAAATCATTAAGTGTTAGTTATAAGTAATGTAGTGAAATTGTATATTTATTTATATTTTTTAGGGTTTTTAAGACAGGTCAATTATTTTTACTTTTCAAAAATTTTTTTTATCTTAACAAATAACCGGTTTAGTAACTTGCTTCATAAAACCATAGTATAGTTTTTACTCAACTAGAAATAAGAGGAAATTTGATGGTAGATTTATGTAATTTAGGTATTGCATACAGTTATGTTATTTCTAAATTTGATTTAATTGGACATCAGATATTTTAGTGGCTGTCAATAAATTATTAACAATATCCTCTTTAGACTTATTTTGCAATTTAAAAGTTTGTGTGGGAATTATCTCATTGATCACGATTTGTGCATAAAATTTTTACACAAGACAAAATTACAGTTGGCTTTATTGATAGACACTCTAATATATTTTTCCTGTATTTTGAACATTTTAGTTTTCAATTGAAGAAAATGTTAAATCTATTGGATGTTCATTTAAATTAATAAAAGCTAATTTATTTTTTATTTTATTAATTTAAAAACCAATTTGGAGAGTAATGTGTGGAATGATTAAGTTTTAGAATATAATCATCTATGATTTTCTTTACAAAATATAAAATGTCTACTATTTTACATTTTTGTAGCTGTTCTGGATTTAGCACCTTTTACTACAATATTTCATGAAGAATTATCTTCTGTTATTTCCAAAATTACAGTAATAATATGTTAATGAAAAAAATCTACCAAAGAGTTAGAGTAAAAAGTACAAGATAAATTATGTACATTATTTATATCCAAATTATTTAAAAAATATTTATAATTATTTATAAGTGATACTATTGAAATTTCATGTTTAAAACTGATAATAGGTTTAAGTACTTTAAAGGAGAAATATCTTGTATTACAATATCATGCACAATTTTAAAAATTTGCAAATCATTATAAATTTCATGTTTGAAATTAATTACTATGTATAATGATTTTCAAATTGGTAGTTATTTAATTATATTATTCAAATTATTTACTTTAAGCCTAAATTTTATAATATTGGAAATTAAATGTTTAGCTTGGTTATTTTTAAAATTAATTGTAAATATGGTTTTTGTTAATATATTAACTTTGAATAATTTAGCTTATATATATATATATATATATATATATATATAAGTAGTAGTAGGTAGTTAGTAGACTATAGAGACGACCTACTACTTTAATTTTAAACTAAGTGACGAGTGTAGTAGTAAGTAGTAAG